ACTTATGTGCACATATATGTGGTTGTAGAAGAATTTGTCACAATCAGATTGCGGTATCGTTTAGATGTGATAAAGTGACTATTAATTTGTACTTTGCACATTTCTCGATTGCGGTTAGAGGTTGCGTGTTGCGGCATATATGTATGTATGTTTGAGTGAATGTGTGTGTGTATGCGTCAAATAATATCACTTCCAATGTGATGTGTGAAAGCATGAGGGGGTATTTAAATTGAATTTAAATCATTAAATTTTATTATCACTCACATTTAAATGTATGCGAATGTGTCGCCTTCATTTCCTTATTTATTTTCTTTTAACGCTTTTGATAAATTAATTACTTAATAAAAATATATTTATCAATTTACTTAATAATCATGAAACACAAATTGACAACGTACTCTTACTTATAAGTAGAATACAAATTTAAAGTGACTCTCTAAGACTGGCTTTAATGAATCATGCATATAAAAAAAAAATCAGTTAAATTGCTACAATCAATTACAATTCAATTACACAACAAGCTACTGTCTTTCTTTTCATTTTTGCTGAATTTAGACTCTACATTTGGGGTGGTAGAGGAGGAGAAGTGTAAAAAGTGGGGAAGTTAATTCTAAATAATAAACCTCTTTTGAGAGTTTCTCCCATCTACATATTTTTATTTAAATACTAGCCATATTTGGCATTTGCAGATTGCAATGACTGATTTGTTGACAGATATTAATTGATACTCAAAACCTTCTAAGAAAATTTAAATAATACGACAGCCTTTAATTTAGCCCAAGGAGGCTACTTCGATCTATGCTTGGACACAGTTAAAATTGAAAGAATAAGACAGATTTGCAAGCTGTTAATATGTATGTGATTTCCTTCTCGAAGGCAGAATCTTTCGTAAAAAAGGAGTGGAGGAACCGATTAAATAATAGTAGACAATGAGCCTATTCAGATGAAAACTTAAAAGGGATACCCCTAGAAGCAGCTCTACTACCACTTCTAAGGAGCTTAGTAGTTGATTACCTGGTAGAGCTCTTAACAAATAATTGCATAAACAGCAAAGCATACACAGATGGCATCGTTATAATAGCAGTGGGTGAATTCGAGAACATACTGTGGGGCATTATAAAGAAAGCACTCACACTAACAAGGAAATTGTGCTTAAAAACGATGCTAAGCATTAACCCTGCAAAGACAGCAGTTGTACCACTTAGTAAAAGGAATAAAAGAAATATGAAACATATACGATTAAACATTATAGTAATAGAATCCATCTATAAAACGAAAGATTAGGTAGGGAAATGAAAATCATATCAACCAAAAAGAAGCAGAAATAAAAGAAGGAATACTTCAAACAAATTTCAATAGATATGCGATATTAAAGATAATAATCTTTCACTGCCAAATTCAGTATTTCCCTAGTGGAAAACATATCATAAAACCAATTGCAGGTACAGAAAGCAATAAAACCACACTCGCATGTGAGAGACACAGGAAGCAAGGAAAGAATTGTTGCGGGGATTAAGGGCTCCAGAAATTGACTATCGATACCCATGGGTAAATACCTCATGGGTACCTCAAGTGCAGAAATCATACTGAAAAGGAAGAATATTAACCAACATATAGCAATTTGCAGTGTCAGTCAGGATGCACTGTATAGTATGGGAATGTGTCAAGGATCATAAAAAATGGTCTAACGAAACAAAGGTCAGCCCATCTGGGTTCCAGGATATATAGTAATTGAAGGGGTGAAATAGCAAATAAACTTGCTAGGGAAGCAACCTCAATCCCGCCTACGAGACCAGATCCATTATTCCCTTTAGATTCTCCTTCAATTAAAAAGGAGATAAGAACGTAAGAAAATTTAAAGACATAATATTACTTAAGAGTACTAACAGTATTTCTTACAGGACATTTTTGACAGTGTAAACATATATATATGCATAGGCTCAGAATCAGTTGAGTTGAGATTTATCGCTTCTGTGAGCTTTTATCATAAACACCAGTGCACAGCACATACTGTTTAAATGTGAAGCTGTCGCTAGAAAAACACTGAGGCATCTGAAGTCATTTAGCCTGAGCAAAATCACATCAAATCAATCAGCCTCTCTGGCCTGCTAGGCTTATAACGGTATTAGAACCGTTTGAAGTAGTGTGAAGTAAACGAAGGACCCAATAGACCACAAGTCGCGGTACATATCCTTCGTCCTCATTTATCTACCTACCAACATACTAAATTTCAAAAAAATCGTAATTGTTTTTTCTTGGCAAAAAGATACCTTCATACAAGAAGTCAACAAATTGTAACCCATATATATATTTTAATAATGTCAGTATTTGGTCCACTACATAGGAAGAAAGCTCGACTAAAAGATCGGTTTATTTTCCTCTTTTAATTTAGACAAACAGCTACCTGTGCCCCAAATTTAAAGAAAAATATTAACAAGCTTTACAAATTCTCATCTTAATTTAGGCGAAAAGCTTCCAGTTTACTAGATTTCAAGTATGATAGATCGATCCCAATAGTGCACTTGATGTAGGCAAAAAGCTAACTGTGTACTAAATTTTAAATAAATCAAACAATAAATAAGATTTTTTTAGAAAAATAAAAAATAAAGCCTTCTTCTTACACTAATAAAAAATTAAAGAAAAATGTTAGAAGAATTATTTATATTTAAAAGAATTTATTGTTTTTAAACGTGGTAACTTTTTCAAGATCATCCAATTGCAGGAACACCCCCTGTGTTTCAATTAAGTTATTCCGAAAATTTACTAACATTTGGAAGCAGCACCTTTACGAAAAGTGAAGGAAATTTTTTGTCAATCGAAAGACTAAAATACAATATATTATATAAATATTTATATATTATATAAATATATATTTTGCGCTCTGTAACCGCTGATGCTATTTTTGGCAGAGCTCTTTCTCCAATTTGTGATATGCGCCTTTTTGTTTTCCCAAACAAATGGAGGGATCTACCGCTTATACTAAGCCTGCTCCGAATACTTGATGCTTTTTCATGAGAAGCCTTTATTTCATGTCAGAAATACACTCGGAGAACTTGCTATTCCCTGCCGAAGTGAGGCCGGAATTAGAAAAATTAATTTTCTTCATTTTTTATTTATGGCCAAACCAGGACTTGAACCGCGACCTTTGAAATGTCAGCACGCAATGCTAATTACACGGCTTTTGCGTTACTCTAGCAAATGAAGAGACTTTCTATTTCACAACAATTGTTGGAACAACGTCAAGAAGCATATGAGAAATTGGAGAAAGAGATCGGCCGAAAATCGCTTCAGCTTTTAAAAAACTAATTACACACCGCTAAGGCACAAGTGTAATCATAGTAACTACTAAAAATATAAAGTAGACGGTTTTAGGTAACATAACCATGGCCGCCGTATCAGCCGAGTGATAAGCAGTGCACACTACAAGGCGAAAGGTCATCGGCATAAGTTTTTACCAACAATTCCGAGGTGTTCAGACCTTCGTTGTCGACTAAGCATAATCTCCCCTTCCCTTGCAATACGATGACTAATAACAGAGGCCGACAAAATTTTATTAAATATTGTAAGCAGGAACAAGACTATAGTTTTCCGAAGCTTTTTGATGTACTGAATCCAGATTAGTCCAACACCATCTGGCTTTCTCCAGAGGTACCGGAGTTAGTATGAAAGTTTATAGCTATAAAAAATCGCATTTCCAAATTAACCCCTTATGAAAAATCCAAACATTAAATTCTGAGGAAGTTCAAGGCCATAACGAAAAATGTTGAAAAATGCCTGAGGACAACCAGTGTATGGTGAATAAATAAATAAGTTTTACAGAAATGAAAATTCACTTCGAACAGATCTCAAATTTATTCAAAAAAAAAATTAAGTTTTTTTATTTGAAAAATTATCATTGAGACCTTCAATCCACAAAACCACTAAACTCAACTAGTTTTCAAAGCACTAATTTTTGTCAAAGAATTAGTCAAAATTGTGGGATTTTTTTAAATTCATAATGCTAATCTAATTCAGTTCAAATCACTACTTAATTAGCAAGTTGATGTTGCATAAATGTTTGTTTTTAGCAATAACAAAGTTCCATGGCTAAAGTTTCAGATTAATCAGCAAGCTTTAAGACGGAACGTCCCTTTAAGTGTCCGTGTGCCTAAATTTTTATTTACAAAAATTTAGAATTTTTATCGAAGCCTATAGAAATCATAACATTAATTTATATATGTATTTATTTATATTTATATAATTGGCGCTAACTGCTGAGGTTTTTTTTCGTCCTAGGTACTCCTATTATAGCGCTATGAGAGGGATTAACCTACTTTTATTTCAATTAATTTTTGCAAGTCAGTCGGATCAGGTCTCTAAGCCTGAAGTAAATATAATGCGCACTACTAACGACTCGGCTATTGCGATCCCGATTGCGGTAAGATTTAAGGCGGAATGCAGTATTTTTTATATACCACTATCAACCCATTGCATACTTTGGGCGTTAGCTCGTCTTCTGATGCACCATATAAAATTACTTTAAGCTAACTAAATATAAAAAAATAATTTACAATTATAAACAAAAACAAAGAACAATTATTAAAAAAAAGGAAATTTTAAACATCTCATATTTCTCCTACTTTTTTATTTAAAAAAAAAATATATCAGATATTTATGAACCATTTATTTTATCAACCATTAGATCTACGATAAACACAGATCAGGAAAAAAAACTTTCGGTGACGTACAAAAAACATTTGAAAATATATACATATATTTTTCCACACGAAAGCACTCAAATCCTCAACGTCACTCATACACTTGGTAGCACAGACGAGACGAATCAAGACGAGACAGAAAAAATACAAAAAACCGCATGCATAGAAAAGAGGTTGATAACAAAATTGAAGAGATTTTCTCTTGTCAAAACAAAACTGGCACTGGGAGAGTAGAAATAACTATATAACGATATTGGTATATATGTTTGTACATACGTGTGTATGTAAAACGGATGCACTCACCAAGATGTGATAACAGCAAAAGCACAAGTATATAACAAGTTATCCGCATGACTTTTGTTTTGGTCGCCTTGGCGCGCGTTGTCGACTTAGGATTTGTTATTATTTTTTTTTGCACTTATTTCTGGTGTGTTTGCAATAGTTTTGATCTCAGTATGTGATAATTTTGACTGTTTTGATTAATTTATTTAAATGCTATGCTTGACTTTTGGTACAGTATTATTCTGCGCTCATTTCTGTTTGAACTTTTATCTATAATATTTTATTTTCGCAACTCAGTGACCGATTTTTTTTAAACTTTCCGCACCATAATTTTTTTAATATTTAAAAAAAATAGTATTTCTAAAATCTATATTTTGATTACAATTTAAACTTTATTTTGATTACTGAATTTCGATTGATTCGTTTAATTTTATATTGTTGTATGTTTCCTTTTACGTTACTGGAAATTAATCAAAATCCTTATTTATTTAATGTAAATTTTTGAATCTTTGTATTTTTTTTTAATTTTTAATGTTTTCTAGAAAATGTAATCGGAATCTTACTTTTTAAAAATATTTCGTCCTAAGTATGCACTTAATATTTATTTAGCACTTTTAAATATATTTGATTTTATATTTTTATTTTTGTTAGTTATTGAAAAACTCACAATTTTGGTTATCTCTTTGACACATTTTTTAAATTATTTTGGCATCATCACTTACATTCCTCAGATTTTTGGATAGTAAATGTTTTTAATAACATTTATTTTGAATTTTTCACTTAGAAATTTGATTCTATTCAATCACTTTTTAGCTTTAATATATAATATATATATTTTTTTACAAGATTGCCACTAATTTTAATTTAATGCCACATTAATTTCAAAAAAAATTGTTTTAGTTTTAAGTTTTTGTTTAAATTATTATTTTTCTTTCTTTTCTTGTAGTATTTATTTTAATTAAATTTCTTCTTCATTTTATTACATACACTTATTTATAAGTATGCGTCACTGCCTCACAGGATTTTATTTAGCGACGCTTTTCACCGACTTGAACTTTCCGCATCGCTTGTCATTTGCGCACTGATTAAATCGTTAGGCTGCTTTAAAGTTGCATCAAATTCATGTATAATTACCTCTCGCGTCAGTTCAATGAAATTCGATTGCAATTGCGAGTTTTTCCTTTTCTCATTCCACATTCAACACTTGAGCGCATACAGGACAATGAATTGCAGCAGCTGGCAGCAGCGTGCATGCGACGGCGGATGCTTATCGAAAGCGGCGCGTTACGGTTTTAGCACACGATCTCTTTACTTAATTCATTTGAATGTATGTTGCTGTGTATATCTCTCCACTGCTTCAGCTTTTTCCGTTTCCGTTTTCCGCGCGTTTCGGCGGCTCGGTCGCTCACTTACTCGCTCACCACTCGACTCCACTTGAATCTCACACTCGTTGATTACTGTTTGTGCCACAATTTGTTTTATTGTCGTTTACGTTTTTTGTTTTTGTTATTGGCACTGTTGTTGCTGGTTGATAGGCTCAGGCATTTGCAATTGTGGCATTACACTTGACATTTACGAAGTCGCCTGTGTCGTCCAAAAACAGTTACCATCAACGACGATACCGGCAACAACACCTAAACCAACACCAACGTCACTGTCTACCTCAACACTCAGGAGCGTATGTGTGTATTGTGTATTTGCACACCGCACTTACTGTTAGCTCTCTTTCGCTTTCTCTCTCGCTTTCTCTCATAAACTTACACCAACCGATTTGGTGTTTTCGCATACCACCTCACGCTCTTTCTCTACTCACACCGACCTCACACCGAGTAGGTTCTCTTTATTGTTGGCTCACTGTACTCACTGAATTGACTCTTTTCACTTGCACTAGTATTTCCATTATCCGCAAAACCGTGCACATCCTTTGAGCTATCAACTGCAACTGAGCACCGGCTCAATTCGGGCGCTACATTTTAGCTGCAACTGGCCATGTACCGTTACTTTACGCTTCGCTGTGGTGATTTACCGGAAACTTTGCATGTTTTATTCCCGTTGGCAGCCATATTTGCGTGCAGGCGGTGCTGCGCATGCTCACCACTTTGGCGGCCGTAGGTACAACTGGCATCCTGGCGGCAAAGCAGCATACACTTTGTGTATCCAATTCTTATCAATTTCGTTTTGTTTATTTATTCGCTTTTGCTCTGGCATGCCGCGCTTTTTCTCGGTATTTTGTTATCACAATTTCGTGCTTCAAATTTTGTTGTCTATGGTTAGGGACAACAACAACTGCAACAATTGCAACTATTTACGTACATACATATATAGTATATGGCTGAGTGCTTCAGAGTGCTGAGAGTTTGCTTTTTATGTAAATGGCTTATTTACTCATCTGCTTGTAGCATAAAACACACAAACATGTATATGTATATACAGAGATGCCAAGAAGTGCAATTACTAAAGTAGAGAGAGAGTGCGCTCTCAGTTTGTTTGTATACATATTGTGTAATGTAGGTATATTATCAATTTTTAAGGTAAGTAAAACAGCTGAGAGCTTCAGATTTTGGCGCTCTTTATCGAAACAAGCTGACCAAACAACAAATTATGCTTCTAAAATTGTGTGTTGGGAAAAATTATTGTTGGCATTTAATAACTCACTCTCCTTTTAATTAAAGCAATTAATGGACAAGAGGCGTGTGAAGAATGACAGGTGGCATGATTCGGCATCGACTAAGCTCACAAAAGCAATTTCTTTGAGATGCATGACGAATTGCTGTAAATTTCTCAATTTAAATAATTAATTAATTATTCTCCCAACGAGCCTTTCGAGTACTTTTAAAAATATTGTGTTTGTTAGAGGAATCGATTTCGGACCGACCAAAACAAACGCGCAGAAATCCGTTTGTCGACTTTATTCAAGAGACTACAAACAAAGCGTAAATCTCAAATAGATACGTATGTAATTACGTTCTCTGATCTGTACATTTTTGAAATAGTAAAGAGGTGAAGTAAGTAGGCTAAAAAGAGACTTGACCTTCATTAGTTCAACGTTTTATTTTCGAATTTGAAGAGAAAGGGGGGAAAGAAACAAAAATCGGGAATTTTAGGGAAATTTATAAAAATATTGAAAATAATAAATTAATTTTCTTTTTTTAAATATGCAACTATGTTTGTTCGAGTATGTATGCAAACATTATTTGTATAATTGGCGCTTCATAACTGCTGAAGTGTTTTTCAGCCGAAACACAATTGAAGGGCGTGACATTCCCAGCCGAATGATGAACTCAATTAAAAAAATTTAAGTTAATTTTTTATTTGGATTTTCCAAACTAAAACTAAAACCCAGTGACAGTCTGTACTGCCCGAAATCCGAAATCGATCACGGAAGGTCGTTGTTAAACTCACATATTACACCAAGCATCTACAGGTTGCAAATTTCAACCGAAAGGAAAGAATATGATGATCGTAGGATATAGTGAAACGTCAAAAGCCTATCGTTTGTATGAACGAGTAGCTAAAACAGTAGTTGTTAGTCGAGATGTAAGCTTCGTGAAAGATAAGTTCCCTAGTATAGGTGAGACAAACAAAATAAACGATTTAGTTACATTTGAAATTAAAAACGAGAAGAAGGAGAAGCAGAAACAGATATGGCTGATAACGAAGTTCTTGAAGCAAATGCAGAAAGTAGTGAGCAGTCAGATCGCGTTGGTCGTGGTAGACCCAAATTTCTTCGTACTGGCAAACGTGGGCGTCCTAGTAAAAAGCGGAATATCGTAAGCTTTCTGAAAGCCGAAAAAACTGAAAATTCAAGTAAAGATGTAGAAGCCGAAAGTGGTATAAATTCCAGTTAAGTGGAAAATTTCAAGCAGTAGAATTGTAACACTATTACGAGAAATATGAGGTGGTCGTTTGTCGACTTACCTCAATGATAAGAATTGATTAAAGGCGTTAAAAACTCTACAAGTTTTATGTATACAGTATTTTGTGATATAAATTGAAATGAATTGTTGAAATAAACTTCAACAGTGGTGATAACTATATATTAGGTTTTACTATACAAAACGGATAAAACTTACCTTTCCCACTGAACACTTCAGAGTCAGATATCGCCCATATTGATTTCGAAAACAGTAACCTAGAACAATATGGAGCAGCTCAAGATAGCTCTTTTAACTGTTAAATTACTTTAATTTCTTGCACAATGCATTCCTCTTTCCCCATCCCATAAGTATTCCTATTTATAGATTTAAATTTTTGCCAGAACTGTTAAGCACGCCATCTGGGATTTCAAGAGCAAGAGCATCAGGTTACCTGCAGTTATTACGGGACATAATTCGGTGAGCTCTTTTTTTGCATATAATTTACTGTCGGATGTTGGCTATTTAGAAAGCTTATTGACCACCTCTTTGCTGGTCCTGGGTGCAGGGAACGTCAGAAATTTAATAACTCATTTACGCATAAGAAAAATGTTTTAAAATGGTATCGACCATTTTACTAGCTCTAGCAAACAAAAGTCCATTATTTTTGCAATAGATGGCTTTAGGGATTTGTAGCTCGTGATCTTTAAGTGCGATTGTACTCCGCTAGATGGCGTTAGAAACATGACTTTTTGTACTAAAAAAATAATGGGAAGAGTAACTCAGAGTATGTTTGAGCACATGTCAAAGCAATACCAGCAAACAAAAAATACGTGATAGTCTACAATTTTCTTCAGCCACCTGAAAATGTGAATCATATCCTGACACTGTAACAATCAAGCATGCACAATTTCGATACCGTCGATTTCGTTCCGTTAATTTTGATGTGAACTATGATCCACGGTGTGAAAGCCCATTTGTCGAATATGTCGATAAAATAATGGAAATCGTCGAGTCTGACCATCAAGCGACAGCCCAGGAGGTAAATATTGCACAAAAAGCTGCTTGAAACTAATTGAAAAGGTTGGATTGCACAAATAAGCTCGATGTTTGGGTGCCTGTTAACGAGAAGGGATTGAATTTTCATCTGTGAATTGCTGTTGAATCATAACAAAATCGACCCATTTCCCATGCGGATGGTGGCTGGTGATTAGAAGTGACAACAACAGCAACGTCAACTGCTGCAAACATGATAGTAAGAAGGTTTTATTTTGTGTTCAATGGGATTGGCAAGGAATCGTCCACTATAAGTGCACTGTCTGAAGAGAGCAATCGGCCATAAACGTGCAGCTTTGGACAACAGGAAGGAAAGTGTGTTTCATCGGGATGACCCTAGACATTTTTGACAGATCACGTGTGAGACGTGTCAAGCTATCATGTTAATTTTGCTCG